TCCCGTGACCAAGCCGAAGATGTACCTCTTCCGCATCGGATGCTGTATGGGAAGAGGCGTAGAAGAGTACTGCGTCACTCTTAGATACGTTCAACATCAAGTTGTACTCGGCAGCCCATGTAGTAATCACATCGAGGGCTGGTTGAACCGCCGAAGCACAAGCGTGGATGTCTGCCCCTGAAGCAACAAGTGTCAAGTCATCCGCATACATAAATGCTGACACAGAGAAGATATTGTCCAGACGGCATAGCAGATCATCCACATAGTAGAGGAAAAGCTGGGGACCAAGTACACTGCCTTGAGGTACCCCAGCAGATGTGAGTTGCGCTCGAGATGTATTTTCATCCACTCGCACCTTGATATAGCGACCGCGCAGATAGTTTTGTAACCATCTTTTAGAGCGGGGTCCTAGTTGCGGAAGCCTATCCAGAATATTCAATAATTTGCAGTGATCAAGAGAATCGAAAGCTGTCGAAAAGTCAATCAATACTGCAAGCGAACGGTGAAGCCGAGGATGCAAATTAGGCGCCCCACCACCTGTTCGAGAATATTCCATCATAGAGAATTCGTTAAGACCACGGGTAATCTGATCCAACATAAGAGTCACCACATCCTTAGTACAGCGGAGGGCCATAAATCCAAATTGTCGACGGTGATGAGGGAATAATGCTGTTAGGCGTCAGTGGACCATACGTTCGGCCACCTTAAGCAAGACTGATAGTAATGTCACTGGACGATAACTATCAGGACGGCTGGGGTCCTTACCTGGTTTAGGGATAGGGGCCGTCACCCCTTTCTTCCATTGCGGAGGAAACTCTCCAGATGCAAAGGAAGTATTTATCATTGTCCGAAGCGTGTTTCGAGCAACAGGGCCAAGGTGATGGAGAAAATCATTCATAATACCATCAGGCCCAGGTGCTGTTCCCAGAGGAGCATCATGGATGGCCAGATCCAATTCATAAGCGGTATAAGGTCGATCCATGTCACAAAGAGCACCACGACAGTCTTGTCGTATAGGTGGGGTATTTGTGAGTAAAGCACGTGAAAACTGTACAAACTGGCGAACGAGTAAGTTGGCTTTTTGGCAGGGGAGCGCACAGGTACGATCATTAAGTGATCGGAGAACCACTGTAGTAAGTGGGCGAGGAGGCGGTGCCGCCAATCCTCTTAAATAACGCCAACTGGGGGTGGACGAGGCCCCGAGTTTTTGAGCGCGGGATTCCATAAGTAATTGGATCCCTCGACGAAAAGCCGAATTTCGTCGATCCTTGGCCCGGATGAATGCGTCCCGAAGCATGTCATCATTTGGGGCAGCAAGGTGAGCCTGAAACGCGTCTTCAGCCTGCTTGGATGCCAAATCCATATCGTCCGTCCAAATCGTATGTGGGTTGTCGCGGCTGCCCTTAGGAATAGTTTGTTTTGCCGCACGCA